TAAACCTTATTCTACTGATAGAAAACAGGCCAAATTTGCAACCAAAAACTCTGAGTCTCAAAGAGAATTCAAACTTCGAAATAGAACTGTCGTACCAGATGAACCTGATACTCCAATGGATGAAATTTCTGTAGAAATTCCTGCTGAAATACCAATAGCAAAAGAAACCAAACCAAAACCTAAATATAAAACTTACCCTTCTATAATCAAACAAGTTGAGCCCTATGATATCTCAAATGATATTCTGAATATGAAATCTTCTGCCACCATTGCCCAATGGTTACAAGTTCCTGCTCAACGTAAAAATCTCGCTAGAATTATGCAAAAGAAAAAAGAACCTATCTCAGAAGCGAACCAAGCTAAAATTGACCAACCTAAAAAGACCACAGCAATGAGATGCCTTATTCGAATTAAAGAAAATTCTGTTGTAGCTATTCTTGATTCAGGAGCAGCTGTAAGCATTATCACAGCCAAACTCATGAGGAAATTAGGGCTTCAAACCAGAGACCTTCTAAAACCATTGTAGTTACTGCTAATGGAAATCATACCAAAGCCTTAGGAATTATTCCTGATGTAAAAATTACTATCCAAGATATTATTATCCCTATTAACCTGCAAGTGATCGAATCTATGGATGAAACCCTTCTCCTTGAAACAGATTGGTTCAACAAATCATGAGCCAAGTTAGATTTTGAAAATAATACATTAATCATTCGATACTTAGGAAAGAAGGCTACTACCAATGCTACTCATACCACTAATTTCTATCCTATCTTAGAGAAAGTAGATGAAGATGATGAAGATCAATAGATTGATGAACTAGAAGAGAATGATGAGGAAATAAAAACTTATTATCTGAAAGAATAGCCTCCAGTGATTAATAAACTATATTACAACCCTTGGTTTGACATAGAAGTTACTCCTGCTTTTCATCTAACCCAATTATTAGAAAAAAAGATTTATTCTGTTAAAAACCCAAACCTAAATGTAAACCTTGAACTTACCAAAGACCAACATGATCAAACCAACCAACTCCTAATAGAAAACATTAATATTTTCTCAGAAAATATCTTAGAAGATGGACAATCCAAAGAATTAGAACAAACTGATGTTATTTGTCATGAAATCAATACAAATAACTACAAACCTATCAAACAAAGAGCTTATCAATACCCTCCAGATGAACAAGACTTTCTTCAAAAAGAAATTCAAGCAATAGAAGAAAAGGGAATTATCAGAGAATCTTTTGGACCATGGTCTTCTCCTGTTGTAATTGTACCAAAAAAAGATAGAAGAAAAAGACATTGCATTGATTATAGGAAACTCAATGCTATTACTGAAAAAGATGTTTACCTATTACCACAATCCAAGAAATTTTAAACTCATTCAATGGAGCCTCTTGGTTCACTAGCTTGGATCTAGCCAGTGGATATTGGCAAGTCGCTATGAAAGAGGAAGACAAAAAGAAAACTGTCTTTATTACAAAATTT